AGCCTCCTCCATATGCCCCATCTGGTCCCACTGAGGAGGACCTAAGTGCTGGGGGTTTCACCAGCATGTGCCTATGGGCCTGGAACTAGTATATTCTCTAACAAGACTCAACCAGGATCTCTTACATTGGACCCTGGGGATACTGAGATGGATCAGATGTGGCCCCTTTCACCTGGGGTCTGAGGCAGCTCTGGACCAGGCCATGCCTATGCAGAGTGATTATTGCAGGTCAGCAAAAGGTGCCATGGGGAGATGGAGCCAGGGTCACCTCCTAACCTCCAGAAGCCCCTTTCCTAGAGTGACAGCATCCAGGACCCCCGAGAGCTCTCCATGGGTCAACTGCAGGGAGGGGCCCACTCAATCCAGAGCCTCATCGTCACAGAGACCCACTCTGTATGTCTCCCTTCTGAGTCCTGGGAGGCCACAGAGCACTTCCACCACCTCTCAATGGCCCTGCTCTGGTCTGTGTGGGAGTCCTGACCTTGGAGGACAGAGGACTCTGAGGGGGCATAGACCTCAAAATAATGACAACCCAAGTGTTCACGCACACCTGAATGTGCTGCACAGGCCCTGAGCTGAGCCCCTGACCTGCCCAGTTACTTCAAGAAACTCAGGGAGCCTAGTTCCTAAGCCCATGCTCTTAATCTAGGACATTTTCTTCTTGTCCTCCCCACACTGCCCAGCAAGAGTGCTGAGCCCACAGCTGATGCTCCCTAAACCCTGGCTCACTTGGAGAGCCAGCCTGGGGTAGGTCCGTAGGAGTCCTCCATTCTCCACTCTCCCCTGTTTCAGAACAGAGTTGGCTCCAGTTAGGGACAAACTAGCAGATGGGATGTTCTGCTGGCTGGCTGGCTGCTTTGGGCTGAAACAGGAACAGTGACTCTGGCCAAGGATCGGAGCCCAGAGCAGGCATGCCAACTGCCAGATGTGTCCGTGGTGGGGCAGCAGGGCCCTTTGAAGCAGCATCGGAAATTCTGAAACACTTCCGAACACTGTGGCCTCTGCTCTCCCTGGGGCATCTGCTTGGGAGAAGAGAAAGCAGCTGGGCATGTGCTGTGCTGCCTATCTGCTGGGCCCCTTGTTTCTAAGGGTAGAAGGGGCCATGCTGCTCTTCTGTGCCCAGCCATGAACTCTGAAGGGTTTCTGCTCCTGAGGCCATCAAGTGAAGAAGTAAGGCAGAAAGAGGAGGGTGTGGCCCTTGTCCTGAGGGTGGGGATGATGAAGGAAATTTTAACAGGTCTCACCTCCTCCAGGAAGCCTTCCCTGACTTACCCTTTCAGTGCCATTCACTCAAGTCTTTTCAGTTATGCATGGACTTACTGATATGGGGACTAGAAAGGACCTTAGCCCTTATGCTGTTGAAGTTCCTCACTAGGTATTGAAGGGAAGGCTCTGAGAAGGCTATAGGAAGGTTTCAGCATACAAGAAGATTCCATAACACCAGGCTGTTTCCCTTTCCATCCTCATGTCTGTGACTAACCTCTCCCCTTGCACTTTCCTTTCTCAGATTCCCTCCTAACCCTCCTCGTGCCTCCCCTTCCCAAAAAACCCTCGTGCTTAGCACTGAATGCCCGCTCCTCCAGCCTCCGACTGGACCAACACCAGTACCTGTGACTCTGTTTCTGGCTGGTTTTGAGGTCTTGTCATTTGCCACTTCACCCTCACCTTTCTAAGGGTAGATGTGTTGCTGAACCCCATGGGTTTTTCCCATAGGGGGGCAGCAGATGTGGGCTCTAGAGCAGTTTTACTGTGGGAGGACATAGGGTGGACTTCTGCGCAGGTGGGACTGTTCATTCATGCACCCATTCATTTGTTCGCTCATCCATCCAACAAGTGGTAAGGAAGAACCACCTCATCAGTGTCAGCTGTCATTTTACTCCAGTCCTGAGTCTCTTACTTCCCAGCTGCACCTAGATTTACCCGTCTGCCAAATGGAGTAACAAATGCCCTCTATTCTCCCTCCAAGAAGAACTGAGGACACGGAGGAGCTGATGGACATGGGTTTTTCTTCAAGCAGGAATGTGGCCACTCTCTGTGGAGCAATTACTGCTGTTATTTATAAAAAAAGATGCTAATGTACCTGGTATGTTGGGCTTCCCTCTCTCCTCGCAAGCTGGGTCCTCACTGCTGATTTGCTTCTATGTTCCAGCCCCACGGGTGTGTTTCTGATTATGGGTCCACAGCCCTTCAACAGGGGAAGCGGGGCTGGCGTGGGCCTGGCAGAGGGTGTGCTGTCTCTGGCACCCACACAACCCACTTTTAACACTTCAAGTCCTCCTTCTGCCTCCTGCTTCCTGTGGGGACAGGTGGGAGCAGTCCCACCTGGAGGGTGGGACTGGAAGGCGCTTAGCATCGCACCACTGTGGAATCCAAGAGCGGTGCTGGAATGTCAGGGTGCTGTGATGGTGGGGTGTTGGGATCCCAGAGCCATATGATGTTACAACTGAAGTTCTGGGATCAAAGGATTTGGTCCCAAATTCAGATGATAACCTGATTAATAGCACGCTAGGGGTATAAAATGTGTGCTAACCACTGGCTCTCAGAGTTTGAAAGAAAGAGGTCCCAGAAGTCACCTGGTCTAGCCTGGTGTCTGACTTGTGTTTCCAACCCAGCTCTGCCAGTTCCTACATGATTCACTATTTCGGATGCCAGGAGGCTGACCAAGTAAACACATCCAGGGAAAGCCCCAGCTCCCTGGAGTTAGGGACAAATTGTCATTTTCTTCCTGTGCCTGGGACTGAGATGGCCCCCTGAAGCCTGGGGGCCAGGAGGTACCATGTGACTGGGTAGAATGAACCTGAATGGAGTGATTCCATCTAGTATGTCTCTATAGAGCATGTCCTAGGTGCTGGCAATTCTGAGGAAACCATGTGCGGGGTGGGGGTGGAGAAACAGCCTGGAATGGGACCCAAGATTCATGTCAGAGGTCTGTCTGCACAGCCTTGACAAAGGCATTCATCCTCCCTAGGCCTTGGATTTCAGAGATGGGCATGATACTCGCCTGCTGGCCTGGTTCCTGAGGGGTTATCCGCACCTGACATTTGGGGTTTCAGGAAAAGGAAGTTAGTACCCAGGTTGCCTGCCCTTCTCTGATTTTCACCCCCAGGCTCCTCTGTCTTCTTACCTACAGGGAAGAGCTGGTGTTAGCTAAGCCCCCATTTTGGGAAACTTTGGGCCTCGGGGCAGATGGGGCATGGACACCCCGCACTGGGGTGAGGCATGTGGGATGTCAGAGCGCTCAATGGCCTCCCTCCACAGCCTGCCTGTCAGGGGTTCCTTCTGGGCCTGGGGAGGTGCCTGGGGCTGCCTGAGCTCAGAGTGGGTCCCCATTTGCAGTCAGCTGTGGGCCACACCAGAGCAGGACACACTGCCTGGAGAACCACAGGAGGGCGTATGGGGAGGCATTTGGATGGTGAGGGAGAGGGTGTGTTGGGGGGCACTTACTTCCCGACACAGCCCCCAAGCCCCAATTCATGCCAGCTGTCCAGCAGGTATCCTGCTCTGGAGAACAGCCTTGCCTTCTCCGTGTTGTCAGACAAGGTCCTCCTCTGCCTCCTCCAGGCCCTACAGGAATCCCTCCCTTCTCTGAAACCCTGACAGCCACTGTACTCACAAATGGCCCAAGTGGGTCCTGGCTCCTTCTGTTCAGATGAGTAAGCTGTGCCTGCAAGAGGGGAGGCCACAGGGGCCCTGGCATAGCTCAAGATGAGCCCAGAACTCTTTCTGCCCAGCAGTAGGTCCTATAAGAGTGGACCTCAGAGGTCCTGTGCTTCTAGGTCCTCCCACATGTCTTGACCATGCTGGAGGCACAGAGGAGGAAGCTGGGCAGTCAGATGAGCCCTGGTTCTTGCCCTTGAAGTGTCTGGGGTTGAATAGAAGGAGACTGGCATCAAACAGTGGGCATGCCCCAAGATCACATGGGGCACCCATAAAGGCGCTGTGTGTCAGACTGCTTGATCTCTACCCAACCCACCTGATCTGGGAGGCAGTGTGTGGGTGACCAATCAGGGAAAGTGGAGGTGTGGGGGGCAGCATGTGCTCACACAGGCTGGGCACATCCATAAGCCACCTTGTTTCACTTGCACAGAACAACCGGTTAGGTAACACGTACAAGAAATACACATCGGTCTTTGCAGCTCTGGTGGTGCCAAAGCTGTGTAAGAAAGGAAGCAAATGCAATATCCTGGCTCCAGTGTGGACAGCCACAGAGAAAGGAGGAAAGAATAAGGGAGAAGCAGGAGGAGAAAGATAAGACAAAGCAGGGAGAGAGATGCTGAGCAAGCCCCGCACCTGGGCATCTGGGTTTATGTTTGTACAAAGAGGCCAGAGTCTCCAAAAAGAGTGTCAAGTCCATGGTCTCCACTGGGATGCTACATCTTTTATATTAATTGCCGTCACAATAATGATGATCACCATAGGTGTCATTTTGAGTTCCTACTATGTGGCAGGTTATCTAAATGCTATCACTAATCTTTATAGCTCTAGGTAGATATTTTCAGTTCATCAAAGTGTTATTGCTATCACTGCCCATTTACAAAAGAGGGATTGAGCTTTGAGAAAGTTCTGGGCTGAGCTCTGAGAAGGTTCTGCAGCCTGAATAGGGCTGGGCCAGGAATGGAGTTGCGACTGAGGGATATGGGGGCTCCCTTTCCTGCCCCCTGGCCTTCACAGGCTGGGTCCTGGCTCCCCTGGCTGGGCCTGAGGCTAGGCACGGCAGTGGCAATTGGCTTCCGTTCTGAGTTTTCAACACAGACTCCCAGCACACAAAGAGGCCACAGAAATTGTCCTGGTTGGGCAGGGTTAGGCCCCTTGCCCAGGGGTCGGTGATGAAAGATCCCAGGAGAACCCCCTTGGGTCCCAGCTCTGCTGGGTGCCATGTGGGTTGTCCTGCCCGGCTCTGGACCTCAACTATTCCCTTTATGAAGCAGAGGTCAGGAGAGGATCTAGCAAGTCTCCCTACCCCCGAGGACATCCTACCCCTGCCCCACTTGGGTTCGAACCTGCGCCGAAGGCAAAGAAGCAGATCTTGTCTTCATTCTCCTGCAGCAACGCCATGACTCGTCTCCCCATGCGCTCGTTCCTCTTGTAGATGAGCTCCTGGCGGAAGTAGCTGTCGATCTCCTGGGCTGTCACCTGCTCGTGTGGGGGCAGGGTGGTGTTGATAAAGTTGGGCAGCTGAAAAGGCAAGACAGGGGCTGCCTTCAGTCCTCTCCAGTACCATTGCCTCCAACATGGTGGCGCCCAAGGGGAGGCCAAGCAGCTGAGAAGAAACTGAGAAACTGAAGAAACTGAAGCAGTGGGTCAGATCATGTCCTCTCCTCCCCCACACCCATCAATGTCACCCCAACCTCCAAGCTCCTGCTCACAGGTTGTCGTCCACCTGGCACCCTCCTCTGATTTCTGATTTTATCAACCCCATCACAAGGCAGGCGGCCGAGCTGCCAGATGAGCTAGCTAGAGAGTCTGGCACGAAGACGCTAATGTTTTGCAGGTGTAAGCTTCTCAAGGGGCATACAGTCCAGCCACAGGGCTTGAAGAGCCATTGCCAAATTGGCAGTATTCTTTCTGAGGAAGACGGAGGTGTCAAACCCTGAGGGCCTTGGAGAGGCTGGGGCAGTTGTCTCTGCTATCTGCTGGCCAAGGGTGAGGTTTCCCACAAGGAGGCATGGGGGAAGGTGCTTCTCTGCCAGAAAGGTCTACTGGCTGTTCTGGGATGAACAATGATATGACCGAGGGACTCTAAACTTGGGCAGTGCACAACCTGCTTAAGCTGCAGCCCTGCCGGTGCCTGATCAGGACCAGCACGGAGTCCGTGCAGGGGCCTGTTTGGCAATGAATACGTGAAGCAGTAGAGTTTAGTCCTTCCCCTAGCATGCAAGGGAAGATGGCCGTGCTGGAAAACAGGCCATACTTGGAACTCTAGGAAACACTGCAGGCTTCTAAGTGGGATGTGACTCAGAAGGATTCTCTCTGGAGACTCTCACAAAGGCTTCTCTTTCTGTGGATATGGGAGAGACTGTGAGATGATGTGCCAACAAATAAATGTTTATTCAGTCCTGAAATGGATGAGCGGACATCTGAGAGGCAATAGTGGTGGCTGTGAATGTGGGTCCTGGAGCTGGACAGCCAGGAAAAGTTGGGCGTAATCTCTCCAGCAAGTCACTTGGCCTCATTGAGACTCAGTTTCCAAATTGGTAATATGTGGGTTCTCTATGTTGTAGGAATGGAATAACGTCAGTTTGGGGCTTAGCACAATGCATGGCACAAAAGGTCTTAAAGTCAGCTTTATGCAGCTAGCCTGGGGGATGGGGCTGGCTCTCTACCTTCCCCCACCTGCCTGGGTGGCAGAGGCCACAGGGAAGAGTGCTCGGGCAGGGGCAGAGGTGGAGAGGACCAAGAGATGGCTCCTGGGAACCATGAAGGCAGCATTCTGCTTCCTGCCTCCTGGCAGGTCCAAGCAGAGGCCTTTGCCCTGGGTCAGTAGACATGTCCAGCCCTCTCTCCTTTGCCTCCTGACCATGGATGTGCATGTGTGGATACAGGAATCTCCATTCTTTAGGTAACTAAAAAAGCTGAACATGGACAAGAAGCAGAGAGTAAAGTTTCCACACTGTGAAGGAGCTGGGCCCAACACTTGGTCCCTGGGCTCCCCCGCGGCTAGCTGACATTCTCTGCACGCTTCATGCGGATAGGCCATGGCTCCATGCCAAGGATGGGGCCTGGGTTTGGGGTGGAAGGGAAGCAAATTAATGAAGTCATTAGACTTGTTGGGAGCCTTAAATCTCCTATGACAAGTTTAAGTGCAGGATGCATGATAACATTTTAAAGAGGACACGTCAGGTCCCCGGGGCCCTCGAGCAATGGATATGAGAGGGGCGATGAGTAGACGGGCCGCAAGAGCTGAGAGGGGCTGGGGGGATGTTCAGTGTAGGCCCTCCCAATCCTGGCCCAGGGCTGTGTCGGGTCTGGAGGTCAAGTCTGGTGACGGTGCCAGTCTCGATAGCCTTGTCCCTCTCTTTATACCATCACCCAACAGATGCCTTCTGAGAACGGCCCTAGGCCAGGCTTAGTGTTGGCCTAGAGGGTCACTGAGCACCCTCATCTGTGGATGAGGCTCAGAGCCCAGTGGGGGCATCTGACTTGCACACAAGAACACTCGGGCATCTGGTCTGAGAGGCCAGTGGGTATGTGGACTCTGGAAGGGATTAAGTACCTAGCAGGGTGACCCTGTGTCTTGTTTGCCCCGGGCAGCTCAGGCTCATGGTTAGGGTAGATGGCTTCATGACTCCTAGTTGTTGTCTTAAAAATACACTTGACTTTCACTCTCAGAAATGTCTGCATTTAGATGATTAACACATATGGCTACTTTATATTTAGCACTGGCATGGGGTGCAGACAAGGCTTCCCAGGGGAGGTCTTTGCATTGCCCTGCTGATCTAGGGGTATTGACAGTGCGGTGAGCTGGGAGCGAGAGAGCCTGGGCCATCAGCCACTTGTGAAGGTGGGTGGTGGAGTGAGAAAACAAGGTGGACCCAGGGTGGGGAGCACACAGCCCAGCCGCTGACTCCAGTGTTACCCTGTCCTTCCTGGCCTCCAGAAGCTGCTCTGGATCCTTGGCACTTTAGCCAAAGGCATCTTTCTGACCACACCACCCTCTATCTCAAACACTTTGGGGCTTTTGCCCTCAGTGGGCATTCTCCCCACAGTGGGTCTGCCCTCTGCTCTGCAAATCATGCCTTTTACCTCACACTTGCCCAAGCTCTGCCTGCCAGCCCCTTCCCTTGTCCTCTGCAGTTCCGGCCCAGCAGGGTGTGTGCATAGATGGAAGACACAGCCCACCCTGGTTATGCCTCCAGCCCACCTCCTGCTCTCTCTTGCCTCTGGCTCATGTGCATGCAGTTTCACATGCTGGAACATTCTTCCCCTTCTATCTGGTCAATTCAGGCTGACCTCTCATCTTGCCAGAATCTTGGCTTCTCTTTCCAGCCCTAGCCTCTGTCCCCAAGTCCATCTAAATCAGCTGCTCCTGCCACAGGCTCCAACTGCACCCGCCACTCAACCTCACAGCAGGTCACACTACAGACCAGCCGCTGTGGAATCCCTTCACCTGTCCTATGAGACCATCGGTCCCACGAGGGCAGTTCTCTCTGCCCGCCCCCCCCCCTCAAATCCCTTCTCATATCTCTCTGCCAGGCATTTGTAAACTATCACATTCATTCGTACGTTCACCAAACATGTATGGGCCCTGCTCTCTGCCAGGAACTGCTTTGGTCACTCGGAATAACTGATGAATAAATCCCTGCCCTCAGAGGGCTATCTCTAGTGGTGAAGAACAGACGACAAGAAGTCAATGAATGAAGCTATCCAAGCATGCGAGGAGATGATAAAGGCCATGGGGAAAAATAGAACAGACAGAGGGATGAGAGTGTGGGTTCAGGTTTGGGTAGCTGGGGCCCACCCCACTGGGATGATACTTGAGTTAAGTCTTGAAAACTGAGAAGGAGTAAGGAAGGGCATTCCTGGCAGAGGAAACAGCCAGGACAAAGGTGAAGGATGCCCATTTGGGCTCTTGGCATGGCTAGGAGACTGGCATGTATGAGGAGAGGGCAGGGCAGAAAATGATAGGGCCAAACAGGCCATTGTAGAGACCCTGATGTAATATCCTGAGAAAAGTGGAGGAACCCTTGCAATGTTCTGAGTGGGGAGCAGGCTACTCAGAACTAGTTCAACTACATCCTGAATGAACGGGTATCCGAGCACCATGATTCAGAAAGCATAAGGGACCTAGGAGCCCTCCATCTAGGGAGTCAGGGAGGGCTTCTCAGAGGAGGTGACATCTGGCCATGGTCAAGTGGGAAGAAACCAGGAGGGAGAAGTCTGAGCAAAGGTTTGGCAGGATGAAAGGACAGACTACACTGGGGAAGAGCTACAAGTTGCTAAGATCAGAACAAGGTCTGTGTCATGAGGGCCTGGCTTGTGACAGGTCAGTGGAGGGAGGAGATGGAGGGCCTTAGGTGTTGGATCTAGGATTTTAGAATTTATTATGAAGGCAATGGGAGGTCTGGTGGAGCCATGTCAAGGCCTCAGGATCCTGCTCACTGCCAGCACAGCCTGAGGTTAACCTTCTCTCTAGGATTCAAATCCAGGGAGAGTGCTCAGGCTGGACTTGAGTCTCAGGTCTAAGCAACTGTGGACTTCTCCTTCCCTGGGCATCCCCAGATGCTGCACCGAACCTCCCTCCTCTTACAAGTTGAGCTTCTAGGGCCCAGGTCCCAGAGCTACACACCAGGCTCAAGGGCTGTTCTCTGTAATTCGGTAACAACTAATAAGTCACATGATGTTAGACAAATATCTTCCACTTTCTGAGCCTCAATTTCCCCATTTGTAAAATGGAGCTGCCAGTAGCACCTGCTCACACCAGTGAACTGGCGCACAGTAGGTATCAATGCCAGGTGGGTTCACATGGGCTTGGTCTTTTGAGTTGGTGACCTAGACAGGGACAGGGTGCCTCACCTGGGAAGTGTCATGGTTGAAGATGACAGCATTGAGGTCCCCACAGTTGTAGTGCTTGATGAGGTCCTCGGTGGTGTAGGGTGCCTGCAGGCTCCCGGCCCGCACGCTCTCATGCTGCAGCAGGGTCTGGTTCAGGGCAAACAGCACCTGGACAGAGGAAGAGACAGGGCTAAGGGCTGTGCTCAGGGACTCTGGTGGAGACCCTGATGCCTCCAGGACTGGCCTCCTCCCTCTAGGCTTCGGGACAGCAGGCCCTGAAACAGAGAAGGTGTGTGGGGCCCCGCACCAGCTGGCTTGTGCTGAACGTTTCCACATTTCCCTGTCTTTGTGGCCTCTGAACACATTCAGCCTGTTCTCATCCCCAGGCTTCTGCCGGCACAGAGCTCCACGTCTGCTCTGGGTGTCAACGTCTCAGAACTCTGGCAAACTGAGAATCTTAGTTGTGTCTGGGTTTGAGAATGATGCAGGAGGTTTTCTTTTTTTGGGCCATTCTTTTTTTGGGCTTTGGGAAAGTTCTAGAATGAGCACATGCTCACTTATAATCAAGAGTATCCCCAAATATAGCAAAAACGAACAAATGAACAAACCAAACAGCCCACTTAGAAGTCAAGGCCCAAGCTAAATGCCCCTCCTCCAGGAGCCGTCCCCACTCGAGGCAAAGGCCTCAGGAGCCTGGGCCCCTGTCAGTCAGACCCAGGCAGGCATGTGGCGCCTTTCCTCAGGCCCCCTGCACCCTAGGCCACCACCCCCGGCTCTGGGACACAGCTGCATGGTACATCTGATGGCATCAATGTCCTGCGCTCATTCAGGCATCATGGGGGTGGGAATCTCAGTTTAAAGAAAACGGATCATTGGTCATGGAGTACATATGTGCAGCCAGTGCCAGGTGTGGTGCCTTCTCTTCCTCCCTAGCCCCCATCACGTTTCACTGAGGTCATTTTAGAAGCAAACACCTGCCAACTCCTAGACTAGGGGGCGAGCCCAGCAGAACTACCTGCCAGATGCCTGCCCAGTGTGCTCGCTGCTGTAGCTATACAGAAAGTTGTGTTGATAACAAGCAGCCCTCCCCGCCTCCTCCCCAGTGCTGTGAGCGCGAGCTTGCAACTGCCATCTAGTTACCTGTCTTCCCCATTAAGCTCGGAGCTTCCCGAACACAGGTGCCGCATCTTACTCATTTTTGTATTCACAGCACACCCTGGTGCTTGGTAAAGATAGGCTGTCATCCTGTCCTTTCTTTCGAAAGTTGTCCTTTTTTTTTTTTTTTTTTTAAAGATTTATCTATTTATGCATACAAGAGCTGGGGTACAGTCCAGAGGTGTGGGGGCGAGAGGACTTACCAGAGACAGAGTGGGGAGCAGAACAGGCAAACCAACTGAAACACACTGCTGAGGGGAGCAGCAGGCGAGACAGGAGAGGTCGGCCTTGCTATGTGGGTTTCTCTCTGGCTGGCTGGGGATAGAACTCGTGCTGCAGAGGCTGAGGATTGCTTCACTAGTGCAGTGCATAATGCCTTGTGCCACCAGGGAGGCCCTCAGCAAGTAATTTCTTAGTGTTATAAACCTGCATAGTCACAGGCAGGCAGGAGAACTGCTGCTGCTCACTCTTCCATTCAGATTTAATTGAACATGCTGCTTAAAATCTGGGTATTTGGATGCCAGCTATGCAAAGTCACGAGGTTTGTCCTTGTAGCTATTTCTTGCATGCATTGATTTACTCAGAGCCATCTCTGAAGTAAAGATCCCTACCAGTCTGGGTTAGACCTCTACACATGCAGAGCAAAGCTCCCAGCAGCGTAGATGTTATGCTCGCACAGCCTAAAATTGTCCTTTCTTTAACAGCTGCACTGGACACTTCATAGTTCAAAGCTGCTGGTGAAGTCCTTAGACTAGTCCCCGAAACGCTGAAATTCTGCATTTGGGGAAAGTCATCACCACGTGGCAGAAGTTCCTACCAAGGGGTCACATGGTTTCAGAACACATAATCTCAATGGAAAAACTCACACAGTAGGTACATATGGTTTGGCCAAAATACTCTCATAGACAACAGGGCCAAGCTTGTCCTTGTGAGATCACCTCCACCCATCCTCTCCCTCTTTTGTTTCTGTCAGGGCAAGAGAGCTGGATTGCAATGGGGTGAAGCAGCCCAAGCTGCTCCCCATAATGAACTGGCTAGAGATGATGTCAGACCCCATGGCCCCACCTCTGGGCCTCCTCCAGGGTCTGGCCACCACCCCTGAAATCTGATCTGTAGCCACCTGGTGCGGGGTGTCGATGGCAGTGGGGTGGCTGGGGATGGATCACAGGAGGCAGTGGCCCTGTTGCTGTGGACATTGCTAAGGCAACAGGCGCTTCCTCCTGCACGGCACATGCCGAGGATGAAAACGTCCGTGTCGAGCTGGAACCTTCCCTTCCTCTGGGGGGGCTGGGACACAGACTTCCTGTGACCACACCCTGCTGCTACACACACCTGCCCTGCCCCTCCTGGAGTCAGCACTGCCTGGCTGGTGGTGAGGTCATCTGTTCAGGCGCCCAGAAGACCCAACTGGAGGGGAAATGGCTCCCCTGGACCTTCCGAGGCACATGGAGTCACTTCCGCAGCCTCGTGGCTCTCAAGGCGCTGGGAGGTGTTTTAGTGACTTAGGCATGTTATTATCTGTGGGGTGCTAAGAACAGTCCTGGCATGGAGTAAGGGCTGCATAAATGCTGGTTAAGTAAACTTGGAAGAAAATAGGCCCAGATCTTCCTGGATTGGAGCTGGAAGGGCCCTTAGAGGTCATCTGGTTCAGTGGTTTTTCAGACCTTTTTTAGCCATGGAATCCTTTTAAGTTGTTATTTTCCAAAAGATCTGTACTTGGAATGCAACATGTGGAGCAGATAAAAATGGAAACTTCCGTGATTGATGTAAGAGAAGCAGGCTGGATCCTAAAGTTCTGCCAGCTCAATGCTGCTTTGGAGCAGGGACTCCCAAAATTTCTCTGGGACCCATAGGTTCCAAGTTTGAGAATCATTGATGTCATTCTGTGCTCTCTTCATAAAGGAGAGGAGGAGAGATACCCAGGGAGCTGGGGCAGAGTGGGCTCAAACCCATTTCCTGACACCTAGTCCTGGCCCCTGCAAAGCCAGGCTCCTGCAGACCCTGGACCTTGTGTGGGCTGGATTTCTGGATGTCCATGGGCATGTTCCATGCTCATTCCCCATACACTGACATGCCTGTTTTCTTTCTGGAGCCTTGTGCAATAGCCAGAAATAGCCAGGGAGTATTTATTACTAGCATTACAGAGAAAACCAAGGCCATATAATTCTAGAGGCACCCCAACATGATACAGCCAGAGTGTAGCAGGGCCAGAAATGAAACCCAGGCCTGTAGTGGGGAACCTGTCCTACCTCTTCAGGGTATGGCGCTTCCCTTTGACCTTGGAAATGATCCCCCTGAAGTGTCCACCTCGGGTAATTTCCTGCTCCCTGCCTGTTTAGACGGAGAGATGGCTGTGGGCTGGGAGCCTGTCTTTGCTCAATGGGGAGCAGCACATACTCAGGAACTACTTTTGAAGTAAGGATGCTGACCCCAAATCACATGCCCTTTTCCCGATGCCTCCCACTTCCTGTCCATCCTTTGCAATTTATGAAGCAGCCCTCATCCCTTCATTGCTAGGTTTGCTTGAATGAGTGCACACCACGTGTCAGGAACCCTCTAAGTTCATATTAATGCATTTAATCTTTGCAGTAACTAGTAAGTCTAGTATTCACACCATTTAATAGATTTAAAAAAAAAAAAAAAAACAAGGGCAACAAAAGACATTAACTCACCAAAGGTGAAGCTGGAAGGGATGGAACATGTACACTAGGCCTCCCTCTGTTCTAAGAGACAGCCAGCAGGGATGGTCTCCCCAGTCACAAGGGGAAGCCAGAGAAGTGGAGAGGAAGACAGGTCCCAAAGCTGCATGGTTTGAAAGGATGTCTGTCTAGTTCCAGACCAGGTTGGTTCCCAGGACTAGGACTTCAAAGTAACAAGTGCTCCTTTGCAAGTATTCATGGTGTGTCCAACAGACACAGGGAAGCTACATTCATTCATTCAACAAACATTTACTTTCTGTTGACCCTTGCAGGAATCTGAGATGGGTGGATTAATAAGAGGTGGTTCCCTCCCATATGGAGTTCATTTTAGTGGCAAATATACCAATAGGCTATTACACAGAAGGTGAGAAGAGGGGCTTCTAGGGGTGTGTGCACAGACACAGAGGTGCCTCTCTGATTTCTGCCCCCCACCCCCATTTGCCCTGAATTCCCAAGCCTGGTGCTGCCCACAGACCCCCAGGCTTCTGCTCCTGGCCACTTTAGAAAAACAAACCCTCCCTGCCTGTAGCCTCAGTGGCCCACTCTATGATAATGTTTATGATAAGGCCTTGACATGGAATAACAAACACACGGAAAAAGTTAGAGCCGCCTTGCTCCCCCTCTCGCTGCCATGACTGTGTGGAGGCTCAGCCACCAAGAGACCCTGGGCGCCCCAGCGGCCCCCTCGCCTGGGCTTACCAGCCAGGACCTGGCTCGTGGCATCTGCTGAGTGTAGACCTGGAATTTAAACACATCTTCAGACTTGGGCCCAGGATGGAGTGAGGCAGGCGCCAGGAGGGTGGGGGCAGGTTTATTGTTCCACATTAGTCTAATAAACAGTCCAGGATGGCTGGAATGGTGAACACCAAAGCCTTGTGTTCGCTTGATGGCCCAGCATCATCACCATGAGAAGGCAGCGCAACCCCCTTTGTCAGGAAAGACATGCGTGGGGACCCGGGCTCCTGGGCTCAGGCCTGACTCTAAGGCGGGGCTCCAAGATGGGCAACGCTCAGCCACCCTTAAGCACTGGGACAGCTCAGCCAGGCCCCGACCCCCTAGGCAGTGCTTGCTGACACCTACTGCATGATGGGGTCAGACGTTGGGGATTGGCCAGGGACAAACAGACAAAAATCCTGTCTCACTAAGCCTACCTTCTAGGGGGCTCAACAGAATAAACTAAGTTATTAGCAAATGATTAATCTGATACTTACAGACATAACAAAGGATCTATTGAGCTGGAAGTGAAGACTCTCCCTGGCTACTCTGGGCATCTCATGCCTCTGAGTCAACAGGCAAAGAAGGAGTACGTGTGCT